AGACCCTAAATTTTGTGTAACGATGTTAGTTGTGGCAATCACGGCTGATATCATGCACAGTTGTGGCAATCACAGCTGATATCATGCACAGTTGTGGCAATCACAGCTGATATCATGCACAGTTGTGGCAATCACAGTTGATATCATGCACAATTGTGGCAGTCAGAGCTGATATCATGCACAGTTGTGGCAATCACAGTTGATATCATGCACAATTGTAGGAATCACATTTGATATCATGCACAATTGTGGCAATCACAGCTGATATCATGCACAGTTGTGGCAATCACAGCTGATATCATGCACAATTGTGGCAGTCAGAGCTGATATCATGCACAGTTGTGGCAATCACAGTTGATATCATGCACAGTTGTGGCAATCACAGCTGATATCATGCACAATTGTGGCAGTCAGAGCTGATATCATGCACAATTGTGGCAGTCAGAGCTGATATCATGCACAGTTGTGGCAATCACAGCTGATATCAGTTTAAGTCTGCTCCTTTGATAATTAGTTTGACATTGTTCCTTGGTCTTGTCTTCAGTTACCTGGATTCAGGTTTCACCTACGTAAAATACATCACAATCTCCACACTTTATAATGTAACTTTAACCAAGTCCTTGATGGTGTTGTTGTGTATACTGGTAATCCTGGTATAAACTTTAATTAAGGACATGGACAGTTTATTGCTTGTGATCTTCACTGTTTCTTATAGACAGTGATGCAGAATTCAGTATCCAAGAGAAAGATTTATCCCAGAAATCACATCTTGTGACACCAACTGTCTCACCCATAAACCCCCAGTTACGATAATATATCCTCAATACAGTCACCACAGCCAATTAGAAAATGAGGCTCTCCAGACACAGCAACCACTGTAACAACAGTCAGTGGAGGAGTGTTGGGAGGTATCACATAAACAACAGCCAGTGGAGGAGTGTTGGGAGGCATCACATAAACAACAGCCAGTGGAGGAGTGTTGGGAGGCATCACATAAACAACAGCCAGTGGAGGAGTGTTGGGAGGCATCACATAAACAACAGCCAGTGGAGGAGTGTTGGGAGGCATCACATAAACAACAGCCAGTGGAGGAGTGTTGGGAGGCATCACATAAACAACAGCCAGTGGAGGAGTGTTGGGAGGCATCACATAAACAACAGCCAGTGGAGGAGTGTTGGGAGGCATCACATAAACAACAGCCAGTGGAGGAGTGTTGGGAAGCATACATAAACAACAGCCAGTGAGGAGTGTTGGGAGGCATCACATAAACAACAGCCAGTGGAGGAGTGTTGGGAGGCATGACATAAACAACAGCCAGTGGAGGAGTGTTGGGAGGCATGACATAAACAACAGCCAGTGGAGGAGTGTTGGGAGGCATCACATAAACAACAGCCAGTGGAGGAGTGTTGGGAGGCATGACATAAACAACAGTCAGTGGAGGAGTGTTGGGAGGCATCACATAAACAACAGCCAGTGGAGGAGTGTTGGGAGGCATCACATAAACAACAGTCCAGTGGAGGAGTGTTGGGAGGCATCACATAAACAACAGCCAGTGGAGGAGTGTTGGGAGGCATCACATAAACAACAGCCAGTGGAGGAGTGTTGGGAGGCATCACATAAACAACAGCCAGTGGAGGAGTGTTGGGAGGCATCACATAATACAACAGCCAGTGGAGGAGTGTTGGAGGCATCACATAAACAACAGCCAGTGGAGGAGTGTTGGGAAGCATGACATAAACAACAGCCAGTGGAGGAGTGTTGGGAGGCATCACATAAACAACAGCCTGTGAGAGAGTGTTGGGAGGCATGACATAAACAACAGCCAGTGGAGGAGTGTTGGGAGGCATGGACATAAACAACAGCCAGTGGAGGAGTGTTGGGAGGCATCACATAAAACAACAGCCAGTGGAGGATGTTGGGGGCATACATAAACAACAGTCAGTGGAGGAGTGTTGGGAGGCATCACATAAACAACAGCCAGTGGAGGAGTGTTGGGAGGCATCACATAAACAACAGTCAGTGGAGGAGTGTTGGGAGCCATCACATAAACAACAGCCAGTGAGGAGTGTTGGGAGGCATCACATAAACAACAGCAGTGGAGGAGTGTTGGAGGCATGACATAAACAACAGCAAGTGGAGGAGTGTTGGGAGGCATCACATAAACAACAACAGTGGAGGAGTGTTGGGAGCATGACATAAACAACAGCTCAGTGGAGGATGTTGGAGGCATCACATAAACAACAGCCAGTGGAGGAGTGTTGGGAGGCATCACATAAACAACATCAGTGGAGGAGTGTTGGGAGGCATCACATAAACAACAGCCAGTGGAGGAGTGTTGGGAGGCATCACATAAACAACAGCCAGTGGAGGAGTGTTGGGAGGCATCACATAAACAACAGCCAGTGGAGGAGTGTTGGGAGGTATGACATAAACAACAGTCAGTGTAGGAGTGTTGGGAGGCATGACATAAACAACAGTCAGTGTAGGAGTGTTGGGAGGCATGACATAAACAACAGTCAGAGTAGGAGTGTTGGGAGGTATCACATAAACAACAGTCAGTGTAGTAGTGTTGGGAGGCATCACATAAACAACAGTCGGTGGAGGAGTGTTGGGAGGCATCACATAAACAACAGTCAGTGGAGGAGTGTTGGGAGGCATGACATAAACAACAGTCAGTGTAGGAGTGTTGGGAGGCATCACATAAACAACAGTCAGTGGAGGAGTGTTGGGAGGTATCACATAAACAACAGTCAGTGTAGGAGTGTTGGGAGGCATGACATAAACAACAGCTTGTGGAGGAGTGTTGGGAGGTATGACATAAACAACGGCCAGTGGAGGAGTGTTGGGAGGCATCACATAAACAACAGTCAGTGGAGTAGTGTTGGGAGGCATCACATAAACAACAGTCAGTGGAGTAGTGTTGGGAGGCATCACATAAACAACAGTCAGTGGAGGAGTGTTGGGAGGTATCACATAAACAACAGCTAGTGGAGGAGTGTTGGGAGGCATCACATAAACAACAGTCAGTGGAGGAGTGTTGGGAGGCATCACATAAACAACAGTCAGTGTAGGAGTGTTGGGAGGCATCACATAAACAACAGTCAGTGGAGGAGTGTTGGGAGGCATCACATAAACAACAGTCAGTGGAAGAGTGTTGGGAGGCATCACATAAACAACAGGCAGTGGAGGAGTGTTGGAAGGCATCACATAAACAAGAGTCAGTGGAGGAGTGTTGGAAGGCATCACATAAACAACAGTCAGTGGAGGAGTGTTGGGAGGCATCACATAAACAAACAGTCAGTGGAGGAGTGTTGGGAGGCATCACATAAACAACAGTCAGTGGAGGAGTGTTGGGAGGCATCACATAAACAACAGTCAGTGGAGGAGTGTTGGGAGGCATCACATAAACAACAGTCAGTGGAGGAGTGTTGGGAGGCATCACATAAACAAGTCAGTGGAGGAGTGTTGGGAGGCATCACATAAACAACTGTCGGTGGAGGAGTGTTGGGAGGCATCACATAAACAACAGTCAGTGGAGGAGTGTTGGGACGCATCACATAAACAAAAGTCAGTGGAGGAATGTTGGGAGGCATCACATAAACAACAGTCAGTGGAGGAGTGTTGGGAGGCATCACATAAACAACAGTCAGTGAAGGAGTGTTGGGAGGCATCACATAAACAACTGTCGGTGGAGAAGTGTTGGGAGGCATCACATAAACAACAGTCAGTGGAGGAGTGTTGGGAGGCATCACATAAACAACTGTCGGTGGAGGAGAGTTGGGACGCATCACATAAACAACTGTCGGTGGAGGAGTGTTGGGAGGCATCACATAAACAACAGTCAGTGGAGGAGTGTTGGGAGGCATCACATAAACAACTGTCGGTGGAGGAGTGTTGGGAGGCATCACATAAACAACATTCAGTGGAGGAGTGTTGTGAGGCATCACATAAACAACAGTCAGTGGAGGAGTGCTGGGAGGCATCACATAAACAACAGTCAGTGGAGGGGTGTTGGGAGACATGACATAAACAACAGTCAGTGGAGGAGTGTTGGGAGGCATCACATAAACAACAGTCAGTGGAGGGGTGTTGGAAGGAATCACATAAACAACAGTCAATGGAGGAGTGTTGGGAGGCATCACATAAACAACAGTCAGTGTAGGAGTGTTGGGAGGCATCACATAAACAACAGTCAGTGTACGAGTGTTGGGAGGCATCACATAAACAACAGTCAGTGGAGGGGTGTTGGAAGGAATCACATAAACAACAGTCAGTGGAGGAGTGTTGGGAGGCATCACATAAACAACAGTCAGTGGAGGAGTGTTGGGAGGCATCACATAAACAACAGTCAGTGAAGGAGTGTTGGGAGGCATCACACAAACAACTGTCGGTGGAGGAGTGTTGGGAGGCATCACATAAACAACTGTCGGTGGAGGAGTGTTGGGAGGCATCACATAAACAACTGTCGGTGGAGGAGTGTTGGGAGGCATCACATAAGCAACAGTCAGTGGAGGAGTGTTGGGAGGCATCACATAAACAACTGTCAGTGGAGGAGTGTTGGGAGGCATCACATAAACAACAGTCAGAGGAGGAGTGTTGGGAGGCATCACATAAACAACAGCCAGTGGAGGAGTGTTGGGAGGCATCACATAAACAACTGTCGGTGGAGGAGTGTTGGGAGGCATCACATAAACAACATTCAGTGGAGGAGTGTTGGGAGGCATCACATAAACAACAGTCAGTGGAGGAGTGTTGTGAGGCATCACATAAACAACAGTCAGTGGAGGAGTGCTGGGAGGCATCACATAAACAACAGTCAGTGGAGGGGTGTTGGGAGACATGACATAAACAACAGTCAGTGGAGGAGTGTTGGGAGGCATCACATAAACAACAGTCAGTGGAGGAGTGTTGGGAGGCATCACATAAACAACAGTCAGTGGAGGAGTGTTGGGAGCATCACAATAAACAACAGTCAGTGGAGGAGTGTTGGGAGGCATCACATAAAACAACAGCTAGTGCAGGAGTGTTGGGAGGCATCACATAAACAACAGTCAGTGGAGGAGTGTTGGGAGGCATCATATAAACAACAGCTAGTGCAGGACTGATGGGAGGCATCACATAAACAACAGCTACTGCAGGAGTGTTGGGAGGCATCACATAAACAACAGCTAGTACAGGAGTGTTGGGAGGCATCACATAAACAACAGTCAGTGGAGGAGTGTTTGGAGGCGTCACATAAACAACAGTCAGTGGAGGAGTGTTGGGAGGCATCATATAAACAACAGTCAGTGGAGGAGTGTTGGGAGGCATCACATAAACAACAGCTAGTGCAGGAGTGTTGGGAGGCATCAGATAAACAACAGCTAGTGCAGGAGTGTTGGGAGGCATCACATAAACAACAGTCAGTGGAGGAGTGTTGGGAGGCATCACATAAACAACAGCTAGTGCAGGAGTGTTGGGAGGCATCACATAAACAACAGCTAGTGCAGGAGTGTTGGGAGCATCACATAAACAACAGTCAGTGGAGGAGTGTTGGGAGGCATCACATAAACAACAGTCAGTGGAGGAGTGTTGGAAGGCATCACATAAACAACAGTCAATGGAGGAGTGTTGGGAGGCATCACATAAACAACAGCTAGTGCAGGAGTGTTGGGAGGCATCACATAATCAACAGTCAGTGGAGGAGTGTTGGGAGGCATCACATAAACAACAGTCAGTGAAGGAGTGTTGGGAGGCATCACATAAACAACAGTCAGTGTAAGAGTGTTGGGAGGCATCACATAAACAACAGTCAGTGGAGGAGTGTTGGGAGGCATCACATAAACAACAGTCAGTGGAGGAGTGTTGGGAGGCATCACATAAACAACATCTAGTGGAGGAGTGTTGGGAGGCATCACATAAACAACAGTCAGTGGAGGAGTGTTGGGAGGCATCACATAAACAACAGCTAGTGCAGGAGTGTTGGGAGGCATCACATAAACAACAGTCAGTGGAGGAGTGTTGGGAGGGATCACATAAACAACAGCTAGTGGAGGAGTGTTGGGAGGCATCACATAAACAACAGCTAGTGGAGGAGTGTTGGGAGGCATCACATAAACAACAGCTAGTGGAGGAGTGTTGGGAGGCATCACATAAACAACAGCTAGTGGAGGAGTGTTGGGAGTCATCACATAAACAACAGCTCAACAAGTACACAACCTACACTTGAAATTCTCCAACGATATACATAAAAAGAAAATGTAATCAGATATCATAACCATAATTTAAATATTTAAGAAGAGAAAGATTTTATTTAAACAAGGGCTGATTACAGCAGGTATTTGTGAGATAATTACGACGATAATACCATGAAGGTACACACCTGGAGTATACCTGGAGAAGGTTTCGGGGGTCAATGCCCCCGCGGCCCGGTCTGAGACCAGGCCTCGTGGTAAATCAGGGTCTGATAAACCAGGCTGTTACTGCTGACCGCACGTAAACCAATGTATGAACCACAGCCCGGCTGATCAGGTACTGACCCTAGGTGCCTGTCCAGTGCCTTCTTGAAGACAGCCAAGAGTCTAGTGGTAATGCCCCTTTGTATACTGAGAGACAGTTGAACAGTCTTGGGACCCAGACACTTATTGTGTAGTCTCTTAGTATACACGCGACCCCCTGCTTCTCGTTGGGGGAATGTTGCATCTCCTACTCAGTCTTTTGCTTTCATAGAGAGTGATTTTCCTGTGCAAGTTTGGTACTAATCCCTCCACGAATTTCCAAGTGTATATTATCAAGTATCTTTCTCGCTTGCATTCCAGGGAATACAAATCGAGAGGCTTCAACCGTTCCCAGTAATTTAGGCACTTTATCATACTTATGTGTACTGAGAAAGTTCTCTGTACATTCTCCAGGTCAGCAATTTCGCCTGCCTTGAAAAGGGCAGTTAGTGTACAGCAGTATTCCAGCCTAGAGAGAACAAACAATCTGAAGTGAATCATCATGGGCTTGGCTTCCCTAGTTTTGAAGGTTCTCATTATCCATCCTATCATTTTTCTAGCAGATGAGGTAGATACATTATTGAAGGCGAGATCCTCTGACATTATCTCTCCCAGGTCCTTCACATTAGTTATCCGCTCATTTGTGTGGTTAGAATTTGTTTTATACCGTGATAAAATTTTAATTACCTCAAGTTTTCCGTATCTGAGAAGTAGAAATTTCTCTTCCTGGAACTTCATATTGTTTTTAGTGGCCCATTTGAAGATTTGGTTGATGTCCGCCTGGAGTCTTGCAGTGTCTTCGATGGAGGTCACTGTCATGGCAATTCAGGTGTCATCCGCAAAGGAAGATGAGGATGACGACTAGGATAGGAGCGAGTACTGTGCCTTGTAGAACTAAGCTTTTCACCGTAGCTGCCTTAGACTTTACTCTGTTTACTATTACTCTTTGTGTTCTGTTTGTTAGAAAGTTATAGATTCATCTACCAACTTTTCTTGTTATTCCTTTATCACGCATTTTATGTGCTATTACACCATGGTCGCACTTGTCGAAGGCTTTCGCAAAGTCTGTGTACACTACATCTGTATTTTGTTTATCCTCTACAGCATTCAGGACCTTGTGATAGTGGTCCAGTAGCTGGGACAGGCAGGAGCAACCTGGTCTAAACCAGTGTTGCCCTGGGTTGTGTAACTGATGGGTATCTAGGTGACTGACGATCTTGCTTCTTAGAACCCTTTCAAAGCTTTGTATGATGTTAGCGCTATCGATCTGTAGTTCTTTGCTACTGATTTACTGCCACCTTTGTAGAGTGGGGCTATGTCTGTTGTCTTTAGTGTGTGTTGGATGACCCCTGTGTCCATGCTCCCTCTCCACAGAATGCTGAAGGCACGTGACAGGAGCTTCTTGCAGTTCTTAATGAACACAGTTCCATGAGTCTGGCCCTGAGGCTGAGATTTTTGAGATGACCGAATTTTGGGCCTCGGTCATAAAGAATTCATTTAGAATGTGGACCCTTAGTCTGGGCAGTGGCTCGCTGAACACTGAGTCGTATTGGGACTTTAGTATCTCACTCATTTCTTGGCTATCATCTGTGTATGTCCCATCTCGCCAAAGCAGGAGCCCAATACTGGATGTTTTCTTACTCTTAGATTTGGCATAAAAGAAGTATTTTGAGTTTTTTCAATTTCCTTTATGCTTTTTAGTTCTTCCTGAGATTCTTGTTTGCTGTAACATTCCTTAAGTATAAGTTCAATATTTGCTATTTCTCTGACCAGTGCCTCCCTTCGTATTACAGATATATTGGCCCCTTTTAACAGCTCTGTGATTCTTCGCCTTCGTCTGTATAGGGAGCGTCTCTCTCTTTCTAGTTTACATCTTCTCTTTCTTTTTCTTAATAGAATGTGGTTTGAGCAGACCTCAAGTGCCACAGAGTAAATTTTTCTAGGCAAACGTTCAGATCTGCTGTTTACGATATCTTCCCCTGATATCTTCCCTTGATATCTCCTGATATCTTCTCTTGATATCTTCTCCTGATATCTTCACCTGATATCTTCATCTGATATCTTCCCCTGATATCTTCCCTTGATATCTTACCCCTGATATCTTCTCCTGATATCTTCACCTGATATCTTCCCCTGATATCTTCCCTTGATATCTTCCCCTGATCTCTTCACCTGATATCTTCACCTGATATCTTCCCTGATATCTTCCCCTCATATCTTCCCTTGATATCTTCCCTTGGTATCTTCCCTTGACATCTTCCCTTGATATCTTCCCCTGATATCTTCCCTTGATATCTTCCCCTGATATCTTCCCTTGATATCTTCCCCTGATATCTTCCCTTGATATCTTCCCCTGATATCTTCCCTTGATATCTTCCCCTGAAATCTTCACCTGATATCTTCATCTGAAATCTTCCCTGATATCTTCCCCTGATATCTTCCCTTGATATCTTCCCCTGATATCTTCACCTGATATCTTCCCTGATATCTTCACCTGATATCTTCACCTCATATCTTCGCCTGATATCTTAACTTGATATCTTCCCCTGATATCTTCTCGTGATATCTTCCCCTGATATCTTCTCGTGATATCTTCCCCTGATATCTTCCCTTGATATCTTCCCCTGATATCTTCCCCTGATATCTTCACCTGATATCTTCCCCTGATATCTTTCCTTGATATCTTCACCTGATATCTTTCCTTGATATCTTCACCTGATATCTTCCCCTGATATCTTCCCTTGATATCTTCCCCTCATATCTTCTCTCGATATCTTCCCCTGATATCTTCACCTGATATCTTCCCCTGATATCTTCCCCTGATATCTTCCACTGATATCTTCACCTGATATCTTCCCCTGATATCTTCCCCTGATATCTTCACCTGATATCTTCACCTGATATCTTCCACTGATATCTTCCCCTGATATCTTCACCTGATATCTTCACCTGATTAGTGTCTCAACATTCAGTGTATTATACACTAGTCAGTGATATCTCATTAATTATCATTATTCACGGAGACCAGCTGTAAATGATCATGCTGGGAGACCAGCTGTAAATGATCATGCTGAGAGACCAGCTGTAAATTATCATGCTGGGAGACCAGCTGTAAATGATCATGTTGTGTACGAATGGTATATAATACCGACAAGATGAGAGTAAGACACATGTGCAACATCTGGGTATCTTTATTGTAGACGTTTCGCCATCCAGTGGCTTTATCAATACAAATTCTAGGACATAACTTGAAGACAGTAACATAATGGAATCTTAATTCTGAGGACATGTACATAACCTTCACGACTACGACAACTACTACTACAACTAACCCATCTCTTTGGGAAGGACCTACTTCCACTGGGGAATCCCGCCTACCAGTGAATATGCCCTCGTCTACTACACCTGACGTTACTATATAAGCGCCAGGATTCTTTCTTCTGCTTCAGAATCTCCACGACTATGGTGCTGTTCGCACCTACTCCTAGGTTGAGGGACTGATTACCTCATCTTCTGTACATAGTTCTACTGTCTTCAAGTTATGTCCTAGAATTTGTATTGTAAATAATCATGCTGAGAGACCAGCTGTAAATTATCATGCTGAAAGACCAGCTATAAATTATCATGCCGGGAGACCAGCTGTAAATGATCATGCTGAGAGACCAGCTGCAAATGATCATGCTAGGAGACCAGCTGCAAATGATCATGCTGGGAGACCAGCTGCAAATGATCATGCTGGGAGACCAGCTGTAAATGATCATGCTGGGAGACCAGCTGTAAATGATCATGCTGGGAGACCAGCTGTAAATTATCATGCTGGGAGACCAGCTGTAAATTATCATGCTGGGAGACCAGCTGTAAATTATCATGCTGAAAGACCAGCTATAAATTATCATGCCGGGAGACCAACTGTAAATGATCATGCTGAGAGACCAGCTGCAAATGATCATGCTAGGAGACCAGCTGCAAATGATCATGCTGAGAGACCAG